TATCTACTATTATTTTTCCGAAAGCTTCTTTATAAACTGGCCTAAATATATTAATAGCATAGTTAGGGTTAATTTCCATGAATTTATCTATATCGTGTAATGTTGCTGGAAATTTTATGCCATTATAATTTGCTATATTAGCATTTCGTCTAAGTCTTCGGATTTCATTAAGATGCGGTGGCTTTCTATTAGCTTTTATTGCTTCTTCCCTTGTATGATAAGCACTAATGCACCATCTAAAACACTCATTATCTTCCTTATTTTGTGGATTAATTAATCCTAGCTGTGGTTTATTTAAAGCTTCTGGTAATGGTAGATAACTACTACCTCGCAAAGGTCTGAATGCACTAATTTCTAGAAATACTTCTTCTGCTCGAATAAATGACCATCCAGATTCTTGTAATGCTTCATCCTCAATCTGATCCACAACTGCGTTGTACCCTTTTTCTATGCAAGCATTGATTCGATCCTCTCTAATAATTTCCATTGTTTCGCGTTTGAATGGAAATGTTTTATATATAGGTTCTTGATCTTCTGGCATAATTTTCTTCATATATGCAAATAATACAATTCTTACCTTTAATCCACCCTTTAAAACTAACTCTTTTTTGTAGACATTGGAAATCTTTCCTTCGATTGATTCAAAGAAAGCTAATGGTTCACCTTCAGCAAAATATCCTTTAGGGACAAATGCGTAATAATCACATACTTCACCTTCGTTAAAATTTTCTACCTCTGATTTTCTATTAATATATAGATCTACAATTTTTTCGAAATAGATATCAGGATCTTCATCAGCTGTATCATATTCAGAATCATTAGATTCACTATTATCATCATCATCATCGTCTGACTCCATTAAATCAAACCATTCTTCGTCAGTTTTTGGTATGGGTTTTGATCTAATTTTTTTATTATTTTTTATTTCCGGTTTTGATAACCATTTTATTATTTCATCTATTGTTAAAATTGATTTCTTTTTTTGTTCTCCTTGGGTATTAGAACTTGGTTCAGCTCCTATATTTGAAATATCATCAGTTAAAAGGTCGACTGCCGGTACACTTGCCTCTCTCGGTTGGTGCGTCGGTGGGTTTTCGTTAAATGAAATGAGATCGCCTTCGGGTGCTGGTGTTGGGTTTTGTGATGGAATTGGTACCAGATTTTCTGGTAGATTTTTAGGTCGACAGGGATTTGTTCGATTTAAATGTTGTTGATACTTTTGATATGAAGATAGTTTTGAACCACATCTATTGCAAGTAGTATTTTTAACCATTGTGTATAAAAAGTATTATATATTACTTTATAAAAATCTTTACTTTAATTATTTATTTATCCTAATCAAATATGATCGGTGAATATACGTGTCAATATATACATAATTCTGGTAAGATTTGTAATGCTTTGTGTACACGTCCTGAGGGTTGCCGTCTTCATTATAAGTCAAAAAAACGTGTTCCTTGTAGTGATTGTGGAAAACCAACTGCTTCAGCTTGCGGACGATGCAAAATTCATATGAGAGGATATTATGTTACATCTTATTATCAAAGACTTCGTGAAAAAGCATATAGTATAGAAAACAGCTATTCTATATTTACTTTTGACAATGCAAATGTATAGTTATTCATTAATTTCCTTTAACAAAAGTTTGGTTAAATTTTTTATTGCGAAGCAGATCGAATTGTCCTAAAAATTTATCTATCCTTTTTACTATCTTTTTTATCATTAGAAAACTTAAAGAATACTACTGCTCTACTTTACTTCGCAGTAATAAAAAGCTAATTGTTAACTAAATAGATAACTATGCTTCGCTACGCTTCGCATCCGGAGTCACTATGCTCCTCCGAGACAGAAAACAATTTAGTAATCAAATAAGAGGGCATATATTTTGGTTAAAATGGTGTACCTAAAAATTTTATCCATATTTTTTTAAACAGAAAACATTTTAGCAATCAAATTCGATAGCTATGTTCCGCTACGCTTCACATCCGAAGTCGCTATGCTTCTCCGTAACAGAAAGCAATTTAGTAAACAAATATGATAATTAAGCTCCCCTGTGTCAGAAAGCAAATAGCAATCAAATATGATAACTATGCTCCGCTACGCTTCGCATCCGGAGTCGCTATGCTCCTCCGTGGCAGAAAGCAATTTAGTATTCAATTAAGTGGGCATATATTTTGGTTAAATTGGTGTAATTTTGGTTAAAAAATTGATTTATGTATCTATTTATGAAAGTTATCGAGAATAAGATAAAAAACTTGAAATCTATAGAAATAGATTAGATTTAACCAAAAATACACTGACCGTGTACCTAAAAAGCCCACTATTATATTACTGGATGTCTGGTATTTTTAACAAGTAGATTTTTTATTTGTAAATATCAGATATAACAAAAAGAAGTAGTAACAGCTAAATTTTTTAATCAAGTTCACCATTATACACAATATCTATTTATCTTTTTAATGCCAATAATTAATTTTACAAATGTTACAAATATTACAAATATCAAAAATCTTGAAGATAACAATTTATTATCTGAGAATAATAATTCAGAATCTTGTGAAGAATTATATAATCATCTTATAAATATTACAAAAGAAATATTTGAAATTTTTAAAGGTAATATTTAGTATTAAATTCATTTATCAATTAATTTTAATTAACTAATCATTATACTATTATATTTATTTTAATAGACCAACAAGTAAAGCAAAACTCAAGATGGATAAAAAGAATTGAAAAAAATTTCAAACTGTTAAAAAAAATATTATCTGAAATTACATTATATAAACTATACATGTTCCCAAAATTGATTTTGGATTTTTGAGGTATTTCGACTTTTTGAGATTTATGCAAAATCTATTCTATATATAGAAGTAAAAAAAGTACTCAGTTATATATATCTTTAATTAAAGAATAAATCAGGGTGGTCAAAAAATTTCGGGTTTTAAGTAAAATAATTTCATCTTCTATGAAAAACTATTTTGACTTTTTTTCTCGAAATTGCAATTTCGGGACTCCAAAATAATTTTGTGTGCAAGTATAGTATAAACATAGAAGAACAATGTCTCGAACTTATAAAGATTATTCACACAATACTTTATTTTTTGATTAATAAATTCTAAAATTAAAATCAATATTTTATGTAATACGTTAATATAAATAAAATAAATAAACTAAAAATTAAAGTTTTGAAAAATTTGATTTACAAAATCGAGATAAAAAAAATGATCTGATCTGAAAAATCATGTGAAAGTGAAAATGGTTCTGGTGATATTGAATTAGCTCAGGTGTAGCCAAAAGAAATTATAAATATAGGTGAGGAAAGATAAGAAAAGATTAAAATTTTTAAGGCAAATTTGGAACAGAGGGAATAGTGGAGAAGGCAAAAATGAAGTGAATAGTATAAGGTAAGTGGATAAGCGAAGATAAGTGATAATAAATATTAATAAGTAATATCAAGAAAAGAGAAAAAAAAATAGAAGGAAGGTAGCAACAATAAAAAAGAAATTATATAGATAAAAATTAAAAGTAATAAAATATGATGAATGGAAAAGCATAATATCAACAATGAAGAAGACAAAAAAAAATAGTAATATCGTACAAGCCATAAATAAATTATACAAGTTACTATTAGTATAATACAAAATAGCATTTCATACTGTACAGTTTATCTATATATCCAAATAAAATAAATATTTTTTTTTAATAAATTTTTTCTAATTAATGTATTATATTAATGAATCTGAAGTTAAATAAACTAGGATAATAATTATGAGTAACCTGAAGTAATCTGAAGTATAACTTGAAGTATAAATCCAAAGTATTTTTAATTTAAGTTAAGTTGAGTTGTTCTTTACTTTGCTATAATATAAACTCAACTCAATTCACTTTGTTCTATTAATAACCTTACCTTCACCCTCATATACCTAAATACATGGGTTAGGGTTTGTCAAGGGTGATATATTTATTACCAGTGTCATATGTAAAAATCATTTACCCAGTATTACCATAGAAATTTTCATCTCCCACAGGATATTTTGATTTTTTTGAATTTGATTGGTCCATAATTCAGCGGGTGATCAGAAATTTTTCACGTGTTGCTTTTACAGGTGACGAATATGTTTTCCGTAAGTAAAAAATGAAAATTGATATTTGAAGGATATTATAAATACATTACCCATGATAAACCCTAACCCATGAATTTAGCATGTGAAGTAAAATTTCTATGGTGATACTGGGTAAGATTGTGAAAAGAGCGTTCTTATTCTGGACCCCTGGTTCAAGGTGAAATTTATGAACCCCCAGGATTCAGGCAAATTATTCTAGACCCCATCCTTTTTAGTAATAAAAATTTTCAAAATTAGGGACTAAGATTTGATTGGAAAATTTTACGAAATAATTATCATTTTTTTAAAGTCATTTTTTATTTTTTCAAAACTCCAAGCAATATATATTAATATACCATAAT